TTGATAACGCACATGCCTTTCACCAAGGTGGTCGGGTGGGAAAGTTGATAACGCACACGCCTTTCACCAAGGTGGTCGGGTGGGGCAGTTGATAACGCACATGCCTTTCACCAAGGTGGTCGGGTGGGAAAGTTGATAACGCACACGCCTTTCACCAAGGTGGTCGGGTGGGGCAGTTGATAACGCACATGCCTTTCACCAAGGTGGTCGGGTGGGGCAGTGGATAAAGCACACGCCTTTCACCAAGGTGGTCGGGGTTTGATTCCCCGATCAGACTTTAACAGGATTTGGGTCACTTGCCTGACCATATGGGTTTTCTCCAGGTGCTCCGGTTTCCTCCAACATTAAGACCCCTTGCATGCTACCAACAAGGCCAACAAGAGTGATAAGTTTAAGTGCTAACATTCGAGCCAACAAGAGTGATCAATATAAGTTGAATAAGTTGTTTCATAATTGTTGTAAAGTAATTAAAAGTTTTTATTATATAACCATCTAGTTTTTTTCCAGTTTTGCTCTCTTTACATATTTTCATCAAGTTTTGTTTAAATGTGTATCACACAATTCTTTGTAAACAACTAGTGCAGACTCAGTACATCACACTTTTTATTTAGACCTAATTCAGTGGAAAAAAATACAAGGAATTGAGCTCTCAAATGGCAGGTAATTGAATGCATTTATCAGTATATTAAATACAATTTTTTAATAATGGTTTTAATGATAAATCATTTGGTTTGTCAATGGTCAATATCACTTTTACTGAAAATAGAATTGTTCATAACCTGACTTTGTGGAAACGACTTCAATTCACAATCACAGCATTTTCTTAATTAAAAGTATTTGCATTTTTTTTGTGCATGTGTAAATAGCAAATGTTGCTCAGGGTCTTTTTCCAGTGGAATATGCTGTCCTTGGTGCCTTTCTTGTTTCTTGCTGTTGTTATTTAGGATATCTGATGACGTTGGTCAGTTTTGTCTCTGTGTAGGTGACCATCAGGCCTTTGGTGCAGATGTCTCTTGCTCAGCGTCCGTGAATGACCTGATTGGTCAGTTGAAAGACAAGTTTTCAGCAGTACCCACAGTGACTGTCAACTCAGCTGGAATCACCCGGGATAAACTCATGCTAAAAATGTCTGAGGAAGATTTTGATGAGGTCATCAGAGTTAATCTAAAGGTATGACGCTTGCATACTATTATTGATGATGACTGTGGTATTTGAGAAGATTTTTTTATGATTGTAAAATGTAAATATCTTATTATTTTAATGGTGTCAAGCTCCGTTCGTCGTCCGTCCACTTTTCCTTGAAAACGCTACTAGTCCTGAACGGCCGAGTAGATTTTGACTAAATTTGGTCTGGAGCATCCTTAGGCCAAGGGGACTCAAGTTTGTATGAATGGTGGGTGTGGCCCCCCTGGGGGCAGAGGGGCGGGGCCCAATAGGGGAAATAGAGGTAAAACCTTCAATCCTAATTTAGTCTGGAGCATCCTAGGGCCAAGGGGACTCAATTTTGTATAAATGGTGGGTGTGGCCCCCCTTGGGGCAGAGGGCCAGGGCCGAATAAGGGAAATAGAGGTAAAACCTTCAAAATCCTGCTCCTACCCTAGGGATTAAGGAATTTTATCCTAATTTAGTCTGGAGCATCCTAGGACCAAGGGGACTCAATTTTGTATAAATGGTGGGTGTGGCCCCCCTTGGGGCAGAGGGCCGGGGCCGAATAGGGGAAATAGAGGTAAAACCTTCAAAATCCTTCTCCTACCCTAGGGATTAAGGAATTTTATCCTTATTAAGTCTAGAGCATCCTTGGGCCAATGGGACTCAGTTTTGTATAAACTGTGGGTTTGTCCCCCTCAAGGGCCTGAGGGGCGGTGCCCAATAGGGGAACATAGCAAATTATTCTTTAAAATCCTTCTTCTTCTGTAGGAATGACAGGATTTGGTCCATATATGGTGTTGGGCATCCTTGGGTTAAGGGAAACCAATTTGTATAAACGGTGGGTCTGGCCCCCTTGGGGGCTGAGGAGAGGGCCCAATATGGGAAATATAGCAAATTCTTAAAAATCCTTCTTCTTCTGTAGGAATGACAGGATTTATTCCATATTTAGGATGAAGCATCCTTGGGTGAAGGGGTACCAATTTTGTTTAAACCATAGGTCTGACCCCCCAGGGGCCTGAGGGGTGGGGCCCAATAGTGGAAACATAGCAAATTATTCTTTAAAATCCTTCTTCTTCTGTAGGAATGAAAAGATTTGGTCCATATTTAGTGTGAAGCATCCTTAGGTAAAGGGGAACCAATTTTGTATAAATGGTGGGTGTGTGAAATTTCATATGTACTTACATCACCTACCATGGAGTGCTATATCAATTATTTTAAACATATTCAGGTGAGCGATACAGGCCCTCTGGGCCTCTTGTTTATGAAAGGTTAAACAAGAAAAAAATAGAAATAAATTCCAACTAGTACCTCTCTGTTTCACATTTCTTTTGGAACAATATTTCAATGACTATTGAATAGATTTTTAGAATTGTGCCTTCGTTTACTATTTTATCTAGTCGTTCCAGGAGAAAACACATATTATATTTATTGTTTTGATGGGAGTTATGCCCCTTTGCTAATCACAAGGAGTTGCTTTTCCTTGTAATTTTTTATAATAACAAGTCCTTTCTTATTAGAAGGCTTTTGTTGAAAATAACAAAATGGTTATTTTTTTACACCAGATTATTATTATTTTTATTTTTCATCGTTTAATTGAATAGTAGAAAAAATAAAATATGGCGTTCACTTATGCTGTTTTTACTAACTGGTCAATGTTCTAAGTTAGAACATTTCTGTTCTAGGGAACATATCTGGTGAACCAGGCAGTTGGTCGTGCCCTGGTAGAGAGTAAGGCTAAAAGTGGATCAATCATCAATATCTCCAGTATAAGTGGAAAGGTAAGCTACACAGGGAACTCACAGTCACATGAGTATATAGCCTGGAATGGATGTATATAGTGAATACACTGTAAACTCGTATTTATACTTTGTGAAATCCAGAGGAGGACATGTATAAGGTACCTTGAGGAACACAAATAAATTCTAACACTGCAGTTTGCTGTAGTGGAATAATTGTGATGAGCACATGATGGAACTCAAATATAAGTTAACTGGAATTCAAATCAGAAGACATTTGAATCAAAATGAGGACAAAGTGAAACACAAATGAGTCACTGAAACTCCCATACATACATTGTGAAACTCCTCCCCAGAGTAATGAAGTGTAGTGTATACACCCCAGAGTAATGAATTGTTGTGTATCCTCCCCAGAGTAATGTAGGGTTGTGAATACTCCCCAGAATTGTGTTGTGAATACTCCCCAGAGTAGTGTTGTGTATACTCCCCAGAGTATTGTTGTGTTGTGTATACTTCCCAGAGTAATGTAGTGTTGTGTATCCTCCCCAGAGTATTGTTGTGTGGTGTGTCCTCCCCAGAGTAATGTAGTGTTGTGTAACACCCCAGAGTAATGTAGTGTTGTGTAGACTCCCCAGAGTAATGTAGTGATGTGTAAACACCCCAGAGTAATGTAGTGTTATGTATACTCCCCAGAGTATTGTTGTGTGGTGTGTCCTCCCCAGAGTAATGTAGTGTTGTGAATACTCCCCAGAGTAATGTACTGGTGTGTATACTTCCAAGAGTAATGTAGGTTTGTGTATACTCCCAAGAGTAATGTAGTGTTATGTATACTCCCTAGAGTAATGCAGTGTTGTGTATACACCCCAGAGTAGTGTTGTGTGTCCTCCCAAAGGAAATGTAATGTTGTATATCCTCCCCAGAGTAATGTAGTGTTGTATATACTCTCCAGAGTAATGTATTATTGTGGTTCCTCCCCAGAGTAATGCAGTTTTATGTATACTCCCCAGAGTAATGTAGTGTTGTGTAAACACCCAAGAGTAATGTAGTGTTGTGTATAATCCCCAGGGTAATGTAGTGTTGTGTATACTCCCCAGGGTAATGTAGTGTTGGGTATACTCCCCAGAGTAATGTTGTAATGTAATGTTGTGTAGACTCTCCACAGTAATGTATTATTGTGTTTCCTACCAAGAGTAATGTACTATTGTGTATACTCCTCAGAGTAATGTACCATCAGAGTAATGTAGTGATGTGTATATTCCCCAGAGTAATGTAGTGTTGTGTATACTCCCCAGGGTAATGTAGTGTTGTGTATACTCCCCAGAGTAATGTTGTAATGTAATGTTGTGTATACTCTCCACAGTAATGTATTATTGTGTTTCCTCCCCAGAGTAATGTACTATTGTGTATACTCCTCAGAGTAATGTACTATCAGAGTAATGTAGTGATGTGTATATTCCCCTGAGTAATGTACTATTGTGTATACTCCTCAGAGTAATGTACTATTGTGTATACTCCCCAGAGTAATGTAGTGTTGTGTATACTCTCCAGAGTAATGTATTATTGTGTTTCCTCCTCAGATTAATGCAGTTTTATGTATACTCCCCAGAGTAATGTAGTGTTGTGTAAACACCCCAGAGTAATGTAGTGTTGNTCCCCAGAGTAATGTAGTGATGTGTAAACACCCCAGAGTAATGTAGTGTTGTTTATACTCCCCAGAGTAATGTAGTGTTATGTATACTCCCCAGAGTAATGCAGTGTTGTGTATACTCTGGGGAGTATACACAACACTGCATTACTCTGCGGAGTATACATAACACTACATTACTCTGGGGAGTAATGTAGTGTTATGTATACTCCCCAGAGTAATGCAGTGTTGTGTATACTCCCCAGAGTAATGTAGTGTTATGTATACTCCCCAGAGTAATGCAGTGTTGTGTATACTCCCCAGAGTAGTGTTGTGTATCCTCCCAAAGGAAATGTAATGTTGTATATCCTCCCCAGAGTAACGTAGTGTTGTGTATACTCCCCAGAGTAATGTAGTGTTGTGTATACTCCCCAGAGTATTGTTGTGTTGTGTATACTCCCCAGAGTAATGTAGTGATTTGTATACTCCCCAGAGTAATGTACTGGTGTGTATACTTCCAAGAGTAATGTAGTTTGGTGTATACTCCCAAGAGTAATGTAGTGTTGTGTATACTCCCCAGAGTAATGTAGTGTTGTGTATACTCCCCAGAGTAATGTAATGTTGTGTATACTCTCCAGAGTAATGTATTAGTGTGTTTCCTCCCCAGAGTAATGCAGTGTCATGTATACTCCTCAGAGTAATGTTGTGATGTGTATACTCCCAGAGTAATGTAGTGATGTGTATATTCCCCAGAGTAATGTAGTGTTGTGTATACTCCCCAGAGTAATGTACTATTGTGTATACTCCCCAGAGTAATGTAGTTTTACCATCCAGGTTGGTAATGTGGGCCAGACAAACTATGCAGCATCCAAAGCAGGAGTGGTGGGACTAACAAAGACTGTTGCCAAGGAGATGGGCAGGTTTGTGATTGTCTTTTTCAGTTTATTATATTCCCCGCAACGAAGTTAGGAGGGGTATACTGGAATCTGTCCGTCTGTCTGTTGGCTGTCTGTCCATCCGTAGAAAAAGTTTGTCCGGACAACTCCTTTTAAGTAATGGACCAATTTCAACGAAACTTTCCAGATATGATAACTACTACCTGAAGTTGTGCATCCAGGTATTCTTTTTTCATTCTGGCCTTTTTTTACCAAGTAATTGCCCTTTGTTGAAAGATCCTTGTGCGGACAACTCCTCCAAAACTACGGGGCCAATTTCAACGAAAGTTTTCAGATATGATAACTACTACCTGATATTGTGCATCCAGGTATATTGTTTTTCATTCCGACTCTTTTTTACACAGATATTGCCCTTTGTTGAATTATGCTTGCCTGGTCAAACTACTGGACCAATTTCAATGAAAGTTTTCAGATATGATAACTACCACCTGATGTTGTGCATCCAGGTATTCTTTGTTCAATCTTACCCTTTGTTACGGAGTAATGGCCCTTTCTTGAAAAATATTTGTTCACACAACTTCTCCAGAATTATGGGGCCTGTTTCAACGGAAGTTTTCAGATATGTTAACTTCCCTTCAGATGTTCTACATCCATATATTTTTTCCAACCCTTTTTATGGAGTTATGGCCCTTTGTTGAAAAAGAAATCTGTCTGCACCCTAATATAAACTACTGGGCCGATTTAAATGAAAGTTTACAGATATGGTAATAACCCCCTTATGCCATGCATCAGGGTAGTATTTTTTTATTTCAACCCTTTTTAAGGAGTAATGGTACTTTGTTAAAAATCTTTGTCCTGACAACTCTTCCTAAACCACTAGGAAAATTTCAGCAAAACTGGTTCATCTGGGCTAACACGATTTTGTTTGCAAGTATGTTTTGGCATTGGGAGGGAGTACAGGAAGTATGTCAATGACCTACATATATACTCAAATAAATGTACAGCTCAGTGAATACAGAAATCATTATGGTGGGAGACTATGGATAGCTTTGCAATTCTTTGCCTTGGTTAAGTGACCTTGAAAGTGGGTCAAGGTCATTCATTTGAACAAACTTGGTAGCCCTTCTTCCCAGCATGCTACAGGCCCAATATCAGTACCCTGGGCGTTTTGGTTATTGAGAAGAAGTCCTTTGAAGATTTTAACATATTTGACCCATGTGACCTTTAAAGTGGGTCAAGGTCATTTATTGGTAGCCCTTGATTCACTTTGTGTGCATACATAGTACTTTTAACTGATTGCCTCTTCTTACTCTTTGTCATGGTTTATTAAGGAGCGGGGAGTATTAGTTAGCCTTTAGCTTACAGTTCTCATGGTTTATTAAGGAGCGGGGAGTATTAGTTAGCCTTTAGCTTACAGTTCTCATGGTTTATTAAGGAGCGGGGAGTATTAGTTAGCCTTTGGCTTACAGTTCCAGCCATTTGATTTGTAATAAAATTAATAATTTCATTATATTTTGCATATCCTCATAAAACTACCAAGCCAAGACCATTGCTGTTAATAGGACATAAAACACAAACAAACCAAACCAAACCAAGTCAAAATTTTATTTATTTTTTAATTCACACTAAGAACTGAGAGGCGGATGTTTTCCAAATACCAACCTGGCTCTTGATTTTCTGTCATACCTATAGTAGTTTTAGGAATTTTGAAACTCTTTAATTGCAACATTTGACTTGTTTCCAATTACTTTGAATGCTTGCATGAAAAGAATTCGACCAAATATAAAAAAATGCATGTAACTACGGTTTTCCGCCCAAAACAGCTATTTTGTCATTAAGTATACAATTGTAGCAGTGTGTCAACTAATCGGAATGATACAGTTGATGCTTTTAACCCCTGAATACACATTTGAACTCTTCTAATTTAAAGTTTGGGATAGTTCATTATGAAATTTCAGGGGTGAATGGGTTAAAGACGTATTATTAACATTGATCATGATATACAAGACGTTTTCTTACAAACATATCCTAGAATATCATACTTGCCAACTTTTTGAAATTTCCACAGGGGAGATTCGGCATGCTCAAAATTAAGACATAAATAAAATGTGTTGATACGTATACACCCCCTTGAGACAAAATAACCCTTTAAAATGACATATTTTGAGTTGTTCTTTCAGATAAAATCATTAGATATTGGAATATATGAACAGTTAAGCAAATTCATTGGTTGAAAATACTAAATTTAAAGTCCAGAATTGGAAGTCTCCCTCCTAAATAGGGAGGGTTGGCAAGTATGGAATATGTGCTACATATATACAGCACATCATTGAATAGGTTTTTAAGCACCTTATGATAAATTTAACAGGTAATTAAACTTTTGTTTATCTGTTGAAGATTTGGTATCCGTGTAAACGCCATCTTACCTGGGTTTATTGAGACGCCAATGACTGATAAAGTACCAGACCATCTGATACAGATGACGAAGATGTTGATCCCTCTGTCACGGTTAGGCAAGCCTGAAGGTAGGTTCTCATATATCTATCAATCAATATTCACTTTTGTATTTTGAAAGTGAAAGTGAATGCCACTAGACTCCTTTAGAAAGTAAACGTTACGGTCAGGATAATGAAAGTCCAGACACACCTTTTGATCAGTATAGTGTTTTATTAGTCTCCTCCTCTCGGTGGTCGAGACAAGTGAAGCTTGCAGCAGATAGTGAACGCCCTACTGAGGTAAGTCTACGGGCAAGTCTACGAGACTGATGCCTTGGAGTGCAGGATAGGAAAATTTAGCCCAAAGAGTTTATAAAAATTGTGTAAAACAATGAGGCTTTTCAAGGATTCTGTACAAATTGGAACATCCTGAGGGCGGTATTTCGTTTCCCTACACTTAGTCATGAACAAGTATTTTTTCTCTCATTTAATCACATTCATCGACATTTTATGGATTGTGGCATCAGAATGTTACCAATTTTGTGATGTCATGATATTGTTGTCCCAGTGTGACATCACACCCGTGAAATAGGGTTAAAATAGAATTTTCTTGCATCCAATTCTTATTCTGGACAGTTCTGTCAGTCATATACAAAAATGTACATGTACGCATGTAGTAATGAGAGAATATTGCACCTTTTGATCGATACTGTGAAATTTCTCCCTCTCAGGGGTCAAGACGAGTGTAGCTTTTGGTTGGTATAGTGAAGATTACTTCCTCTCCCCAAAGTAAGACAAGTGCAGTTTTAATTCCTTTCACTCAATAGTGGCAAGAAACTGATGATAGACAGACAGCACAGGGACTTGAGAATTTGTTACAGCTTCATTTCGACTTAAACTAATGTATTCAGAGTAATTTTGCACATTTTAGGGGTTTAGATCAACTTTCTGTGAAAATGCCATCTCTTTTGATACATGCAATGGCATTTTTACCGAAAGTTGATCTTAACCCCTAAAACATGTCACACCTTTATTTAGGTCCAAATATAGCTGTAACAAATTCTCAAGCCCCTGTGACTGCTAGTATACCTTTCATCTCTGGATAAATAATATTGATATATTTGTGTTGCAGAGATAGCCAATGCCTGCCTGTTTTTGGCCTCTGACCACAGCAGCTATGTTACAGGGACCACTCTGGAGGTGGCAGGTAAAACCATTAAAAGTCCATAAAGGCTAAGTTTGTTTTGAACACAAGCAGGAATTGAAAACTCAATTTGAGAGCTTTCAAAAACAGCTGTTTTCTTTGTCAAGCAAAGAGTATTTCACTTTTTGTATCAATAGCTTATTGTACGGATAGGCAAAGATTTGTACACTGTATAAAAGTTGCAACCTGTATACAGTGAAAAACTCCCATCGTCACTCTTTGACAAACACTTTGCCTTTTGTTCTAATTTCTCAGGAAATGGGAAAACCTTAGTAGTTATGGTAGAGACAGTATTTATCTTGTTTCTAGCATTCTTAATACCAGATAGTCTACTGTACGTTGTTAATTCTGATGACTTATTTGTTGCAGGTGGACTGTTTCCCTGAGGCAGCACACAACATTATTGAACAGACGAGAGAGGAGAAACATACATAGTGTGACCCCCAGACCTAGTACTGGAATCCTATTTATCATTTAAGTCGGACAAACGTATGGACAGAATATATATGCAATCATGATACATACCTCCAGACAATAACGACGACTGATTTTGTTTAATTTTGAATTGTTAACATTTCTGATTGGATCCTGTGTACGTTGACATTTCTGATTGGATCCTGTGTACTGTAATTATGTTATGTTTCCAAATATAAAACTGTTGAACGTTTTATTTGTTTCTGGAACTCATTTACTAAGATAAGGAAAACATTGACAACACTTACTTCAGCACCACTTTTCAAGGATAAAAGCATTTATTGTCGAGTGCATTTACCTACATTGTAGCATTGGTAACTACAGACTACAGTTGTTTTTATACGCCCGCGATACAGAGTGTAAAATGTTTATCAAACTGTAGAGTAAACAACACATTTCTACTCCGCCCCCATTGCATGATCGTAAGAGGCAACTAAATTTGGGATCTTATTTTTTCTGTTCTTTCTTAACAACTTTCTTCTTCCTAATGTCTCCCTTGACAATGCCTCACTTTTGGCATTTATTTGAGCATTCGCCCCTGTGAGGAAGGCTTTTGGTTCACTTGTGGTGCTCTTAATGTATCTTGGTTTGTAGTTTTTCAGAAAAAGTTGTGCAACTTGTTCGAAACATCATAAAACTATGACAAAGAATATACTACAAGCCAAATATATATTTGTATAACTACAGGCCTAACGGTTCGTAAAAAGTTGTTTGAATTTTTTAACGCATTCGACCAGTGTAACCTTGAATGTTTTTTCAGGGTTGTTTATTTGAACTTGGTCAATCTTGGTTGGAAGCTTCATATCAATACCTTTGATTATAAAAAGGAGTCATCCTAAGTTATAAACACATCTGACCTGTGACCTCGAAAATATTAAAAGAAATCTTTTTAAGATATAAAAAAATGTTTAAAACCCATGTGATCTCAAGTATATGTTAAGGTCAAGTATCCAAACAAAATATGCACAACTAGAAACCAACAGAAACTTGCATATTAAATTTGAAAAAGATCCCTCCTGAGTAGTCTCTGAGAAATAGCAAACCTTAACTGTCAAAATCCAAGATGTCCGCCTGTTGGTTATTTTCTTTATCCGAAGTCTCAATAGTAAACATGCAAAACTAGAAACCAAGGGGAACCTACATATCAAATATGGGAAAGATCTATCCAGTACTTTACAAAAAATACGGATAACAAACTTAAACTGTCAAAATCCAGCATGGCCACCTGTCGGCCATTTTGTTTATCTGGTCGGTCTCAAAAGTAAATATGCACAAGTAGGGACCAAGGGGAACTTACAAATTATATTTGATATTGCGATAACAATAATTGTTTAAGGATAGATGGACGGATGACAGGCAATTTAATTAGCCCACCATCTGATGATGGCGGACTAAATAATCTGATGATGGTGGACTAAATAATCTGTTGATGGCGGACTAAATATATGCTACTAACAAGAAAAAGAAAACGGGCATATTATATAACTAGAAGTATCAAATGATCTATATTTTATAAATATGAAAGTCCAATGACAAAAACTGATTCTCAGGAATCTGAAGAAATTATGCCAAAGACAGGTATAAAGTAAATTTACCTCAATCAAAATAAAAAAACACCAAAGTACAAATAGCATAGTAAAGGTTTTTTATTTCAGCATAAGATACAGGTTACAAACGGATTTTGTGTATATACATATATATCCTTGGATACCAAAGTAAACCCGATACTAAATGTAAAAGACTGTTTACACCAAATTATAATGATGATCAACAGGTAAGGTAGCACTTCTGTACACCTGGAAACTTTCAGTCAAATTATCTCCCTTTACAGGTAAAATCTATATATCTGGTGTCAAATTTCCTCTCCACATGTAAACATTTCCAATCAAAACTGTATCCACAATAAGAGAAAAACAATTCTATTCCAGCAAAAAAAATCAGTGTTTTATTTTCTTCAACAAAAAAACGTGTATAACAAACACAAGGAAAATGGAGCTTCCACTTAGCACTTATGTAAGAAATAGAAAATAAAGCATTTCCTAAATCAACACAACCAACCTACACTTTAGATACTGATGCTGAATGTATGGTGATTAATATAGAAACCTTGCATTCCAGCATATGCTAAGGTGAAGTAAGCTATAGACAATGTAAAAAACCTTAAAAAATATAAAGCTCTATCTAAATCTGTTTACGGTGATGAAGGAATTGATGTAAATAAACAATGGGGGAAGGGAGACATCATTTTAGCATGTATAGAATATGTGTCAAGTATAATACAGATTAACCAAAGCTATTCAATAACAATATTTTTCAGGAAGACTGAAGCAACGTTTGTATTTTTCACTTCTGAAGAGTAAATTAGATGCTGTGCTATAGCCATAAAGAGGCCATTTTTGGCCAGTCATTACTTCAGTAGCCCTGTGGTCTTGTTGATGAAGTACTTGGATGTGACTGTACTACCTGGATGGCTCTGAACTTAAGTCAAACACAAATGTGTAGAATTTCTGAGTAATTGTGCACCTTGTGATCGAAGTATGAAATTGGGCGGGCCCAAATAGCATTTGTATTGTTGAGACCGTTTGGTCTGATAATATAAGATGTACATTTTGGACTATTTCAAGGTGGTTTAACTCATTCACCCCTGAAGACACATGTGAACTCTTCCAATTCAAAGGTTAGAATAGATCATGATGAAATTTTAGGGGTGAATGAGTTAAGGAAGTAAACATTTTAAACAAGATGGCCCTGTATCTAAACATTTTCATTACAAGAATTTAGCTGATGTTTATGTGTACTCAATATGTGATAGCAACACCTCTCCAAATTACTTACCGACAACAATGCTTTAAATTGACAGCCATTTGTTATAGCCATATACAGTAAGGAAAATCCTCTGACGGCCCTAAACAGCAAGGTTTTAGGACATATCTCACATGCGAGATAAATTTGACACTCTTATCCCAACGTGCACAACGATTTCATATCTCTGTTTGACTACTAGCTTTCACCTATAACCCTTTCACCCCTATGTAACTTCAGTAAACTCTTCCATGCTTTGATCTAGAGGAGTCCATTATGGTCTACAGTGGTGAAAGGGTTAAGGGAGTGATTACATGTCTTTTGTAACTGTCAGACGAATATATTCTTTTTTGGATGGCACTTCTATAAGTCTGTGCTGTGGGAATTCAGTCTGTGCCTGTTCCTTTGACAGTGACGGAACAACCATCACCTCATCACCAACCTATTAAACACAACACATTATCTGAGCTAACATCATTGATATAACACACAATTCAAAATTCAATGTAAATATGTTAATGAAAGCAACACCCATCAGAGCGCATATAACCATACCAATTGTATATGTAGTAAAATATCCATACATAATGCCTACTGATGGCCATTCATTTGTAAGAATTATGAGACACTCATTATGTTCAAATAAACATTAAATCTTAGGTTAACACTTGAGATAATGTGTATGCTAAGTGTATATTTCATGTGAAATGTCACCTGTATGTTTCAAGTGATAATATGTATGTCACCAGTTTGTTTCAAGTGATAATATGTATGTCACCTTTATGTTTCAAGTGATAATGTGTATGTCACCAGTTTGTTTCAAGTGATAATATGTATGTCACCTGTATGTTTCAAGTGATAATGTGTATGTCACCAGTTTGTTTCAAGTGATAATATGTATGTCACCTTTATGTTTCAAGTGATAATGTGTATGTCACCTGTATGTTTCATGTGATAATGTGTATGCCACCAGTTTGTTTCAAGTGATAATGTGTATGCCACCAGTTTGTTTCAAGTGATAATGTGTATGTTACCTTTATGTTTCCTGTGATAATGTGTATGTCACCAGTATGTTTCCTGTGATAATATGTATGTCATCTGTATGTTTCATATGATAATGTGTATGTCATCTGTATGTTTCATGTGATAATGTGTATGTCACCTGTATGTTTCCTGTGATAATATGTATGTCGCCCATATGTTTCATGTGATAATATGTATGCCATCCGTATGCTTCATGTGATAATGTGTATGCCACCAGTTTGTTTCAAGTGATAATGTGTATGTTACCTTTATGTTTCCTGTGATAATGTGTATGTCATCTGTATGTTTCATGTGATAATATGTATGTCACCTGTATGTTTCCTGTGATAATATGTATGTCACCAGTTTGTTTCAAGTGATAATATGTATGTCACCTGTATATTTCCTGTCATAATATGTATGTCATCTGTATGTTTCCTGTGATAATGTGTGTCATCTGTATGTTTCCTGTGATAAAACGTATGTTCATCTGTATGTTTCCTGTGATAATATGTATGTCATCTGTATGTTTCATGTGATAATGTGTATGTCATCTGTATGTTTCCTGTGATAGTATGTATGTCACCCATATGTTTCCTGTGATAATGTGTATGTCACTTGTATGTTTCAAGTGATAATATGTATGTCATCTGTATGTTTCCTGTGATAATGTGTATGTCACCAGTTTGTTTCAAGTGATAATATGTATGTCACCTTTATGTTTCAAGTGATAATGTGTACGTCACCTGTATGTTTCCTGTGATAATATGTATGTCATCTGTTTGTTTCATGTGATAATGTGTATGTCACCTGTATGTTTCCTGTGATAATATGTATGTCATCTGTTTGTTTCATGTGATAATGTGTATGTCACCTGTATGTTTCCTGTGATAATATGTATGCCACCCGTATGCTTCATGTGATAATGTGTATGTCGCTTGTATTTTTCATGTGATAATATGTATGCCACCTGTATGTTTCATGTGATAATATGTATGCCACCTGTATGTTTCCTGTGATAATATGTATGCCACCCGTATGCTTCATGTGATCATGTGTATGTCACTTGTATTTTTCATGTGATAATGTGTATGTCACCTGTATGTTTCCTGTGACAATGTGTATGCCACCTGTATGTTTCCTGTGATAATATTTCCTATGATAATATGTATATCACCAGTTTGTTTCTTGTGATAATATGTATGTCACCTGTATTTTTTTTTATGTGATAATATGTATGTCACCTGTATTTTTTATGTGATAATATGTATGTCTTCCTGTGATAATGTACATGTCAACTGTATGCTTCATGTGATAATGTGTATGTCACCTGTATTTTTTATGTGATAATATGTGTGTCACCCATATGTTTCCTGTGATAATGTGCATGTCATCTGTATGCTTCATGTGATAATGTGTATGCCACCTGTATGTTTCATGTGATAATATGTATGCCACCTGTATGCTTCATGTGATAATGTGTATGTCACTTGTATTTTTCATGTGATAATGTGTATGTCACCTGTATGTTTCCTGTGACAATGTGTATGCCACCTGTATGTTTCCTGTGATAATATTTCCTATGATAATATGTATATCACCAGTTTGTTTCTTGTGATAATATGTATGTCACCTGTATTTTTTTTTATGTGATAATATGTATGTCACCTGTATTTTTTATGTGATAATATGTATGTCTTCCTGTGATAATGTACATGTCAACTGTATGCTTCATGTGATAATGTGTATGCCACCTGTATGTTTCATGTGATAATATGTATGCCACCCATATGCTTCATGTGATAATGTGTATGTCACTTGTATTTTTCATGTGATAATATGTATGTCACCTGTATGTTTCATGTGATAATATGTATGCCACCCGTATGCTTCATGTGATAATATGTATGTCACCAGTATGTTTCCTGTGATCATGTGTATGTCACTTGTATTTTTCATGTGATAATGTGTATGTCACCTTTATGTTTCCTGTGATAATATGTATGTCACCTGTATTTTTTATGTGATAATATGTATGTCACCTATATTTTTTATGTGATAATATGTATGCACCTGTATGTTTCATGTGATAATATGTATGTCACCTGTATGTTTCATGTGATAATATGTATGCACCTGTATGTTTCATGTGATAATATGTATGTCATCTGTATGTTTCATGTGATAACATGTATGTCACCTGTTTTTTTTATGTGATAATATGAATGTCACCTGTATTTTTTATGTGATAATATGTATGTCACCTGTATTTTTTATGTGATAATATGTATGTCATCTGTATGTTTCATGTGATATGTAAATCACCTGTGTATGTTTCTGTGTTTATTATCATATTGTTATATGCTGGGGCTATGGATAGTCCTTTCGATGTATGTAGTGTTACTAGGAGTAGCTTCTTACATTTCACCTCATATATAAATTTACCAAAATTTCAAATCTGTAGACAGGCTTTCAATAAGTTTAACCTTAACATTGGTTACTGTATATCTAAAGCACTATCTCTTTGTAACGGATAATTTCATAAGTGGAAAAACATCATATTTAAATGGAGGCTTACAAAGTTTAACTTACATTCCAATTGGCAGGCGTGGCTACTTTTTTGGTGGCAGTCAGCTGGAGAGAGTCTACCACACGCAGAATTTCTCTGTCAAATATAAAATTATGTTCCTGAATATAGTAATTCTGATGAACATCATCAGTATATAAGGGCCCAATGGGCTTGCATCACTCACCTGCTATTAATCGGACACTTGTAACATTTAACGTGGACAATGGTGAAATACATTTACATTAAATATGGACTAAATGAAGCTACAGGCTCAATAATATTACCTTTGTTACAGGATTTTAACAAAATTGACCCTTGCGTGATTGAAAATTAATGAAGCTAGGTTATTCATTTCAAAAACTTATTAGCTTTCATACCCGTGTGCAAATTCAGATGAAGTCATTTAAGGGTTTTCAACACATTTGGCCTCTGGGACCTTGATTATGGTGAAGGTATTTCATTTCAATACACATGATAGCCCTTCATCCCAGCACTCTTCTGGCCTAACATATCAACACCCTAGGTATTTAGGCTATTCAGAAGAACTTCAACACATTTGACCCCTGTGATATCCAATACAGGGAAAAAGTCATTCATTTGAACAAACTTGATAGCTCTTTATCTGGCCAATTACCCATCACCCTAAGCTTTTTGGTTCAGAAATTGTTTAAATTCTTTCTAAGTAATAAGGCTATTTTGAAATAACTTTCAGTAGAGTAACAACAGAGTGGAAAATCTTGCAGCTAAGTAATCAAGGGGTCTGGTGTTTGAATCCCCAGCAGAGTTTATTATTAGGATGAAGAAATTAGGATTAAGATATTTCTTTTGCTTTAGTAATGATTTTTGTTTATTTAGGTTTGGGCTTACAACTGTCAAGTTTATATAAAGACGGTGCTTGTTCACTTTCCATGGGGTCACATAGGTACACTTCATAGTGCCATCTCACTGAAATGCCTTAGCCGTCACACGATAGCGTGACACTCGATCTACCTGGACACATACCGTCCTTACTGACAGCCATGTAAAGCTCAATGTCCGTTTGTCTTGCTCAGAAGACAGAACCCTTTTTTTGAGTATAAATTTTGGCCCTCATTTTAGATTTGTGGATCATTTTATAAAATTTTGAACAAATTTTCAACAGTAGCTTAAGAGGAGTTCTCTTTTGAAGATTTTACAATCTTGGAGTCCCAAATGCCCCTGTTTTGACCAGTATCGTGACAAGAAGATGACTTACGGGAAGCTCCTGCCAGTGGTGGCTGGGTACAGCAGAGATGCCTTCAGTTTCTGGTCTTTGCCAATGATAAACACCTGTCAAAGACAGTAGATATACATTACAGGTTGGAATAATAAAGAAAACATATTTACAATGAACCTGCAGTGATAAAGACTGTACTCATAATATTATTTTAATACTGTATCATTGCTAAAATATAATAAAATATACTCATGAGTAGTGACCACCTTTATTAATAGACCACTTGTGTATAAAAGAAACCACTTTTAATGATCCCCATTGATGTGGTTTCATTGATAACTGAACCTGTATTAAGAGACAATTTTGGACTTCCCATGGGTGGTCTTTTAATGCAAGTGCGACTATATGGTGTTTTGATGGAACTTCCAAAACATTTTTTATATTTTTACCCTGCTACAAGGCATACAATGTATGTCAATGTGTCTGACCCATCAGGTGGATAAACCAACTGCTTCATACCTTACGGGGAATCAAGACTGTCCTTCTCCTCAGCATCTATGAGACATAGACAAATGTTTCCCTTCTCAGCAGTCATGAGATATAGACCAATGTTTCCCTTCTCAGCAGTCATGCGACAATATTAACCTGAGACCTCCATATCAGCCGGAGGGGCTACAATGCATGTCCCTGAAAATTTACTTACAGCCCTGCATGTCAATGGGAGACCAGCTGCGTCCTTCTCATCAGGGTCCACCATCCCAAATTTGACTGCCAGGGTGCGATCCGGATCAGCAATGATGGGGAATGAAAGTGTGGTTTCCTCAGACCCGTCGAGTACCTTCTTGGAGTAGCTAAGCACATCCTAGATGTGAAGGAGTAAAATGTATGTACAAAGGTACATAGCAAAGGTGTTGTACATGTATATAAACTCCTTTTAATTTTTGCATTAACAGGAAATAATCTGAACAGTTACTGTATATATACATGCACCTGGAAACTTTCAGCCACTGAATTAATCGCCATTCTCCTAAAAATTCCACATACAAGTCCTATGTTAAATACATCAATCCTTGTACATGTGGAAATACCATATTGAAACAACATGTACATGTCCAGTGCTAGCAGACCATGTATTATAAATGCTGACATGAAATTGACACAAGATTTACTGCTGTGAACATATCTCAGTATTACCCGGTAAGAATATAACTAAATATTCTACCTAAAGTTTCATTCTTAGCCTCTCTTCTAATGATGAGAATTAGCAGAACATGTATTTTTTTTAAATTTATTTTCTTCATATTATGACATCAAATCAAAACCGAAAGATATGATTCTTCAAGGTCCAAACCAAAAGCATTAAGCTTGACCAGGAATTCCCATTCAAAATTCTTACTTATAATATTGCGGGCAAAAAGACGAAACAAAGATGCCATAAAACAGCTCCCGTAAAGATAGTAAATGATTGTTTTTCTTCAGATGATATACAAAAACATGTGACCAGTAAAAAGTTAGACACAGAAGAAATGTGACTGGTCAACACCTGGAGACAGGTAAACAAGTGACTTGAGGATACTGCCAAACATGTGACTGGTCAACACTTTGACTTTATTGACAAACACGTGACTGGTCAACACTTTTGACTATATTGACAAACACGTGACTGGTCAACACTTTGACTTTATTGACAAACACGTGACTAGTCAACACTTTGACTTTATTGACAAACACGTGACTGGTCAACACTTTTGACTATATTCAGAGCTGCCAACCTTAGAGATTAAGAAATAGTAATCTCAGGTAGTATTCAAATGCTTTTTTATGTCATTTCCGCCACCGTGCGAAATCACAAAATCACAGCAACACGGAATGCATCGGGCATAAGTAGTTCCTTTGGCAGACTTTACAATGTCCGGATACAGCTTCGGATAATCCCCTCTAAACGTCGGAATGGATAATTTCCTTTTTTCCTAGGAGAAACGTCTTCTTGCCCGTCCAGTTTGACACGTTTTTCCGCCATTTTACTTCATCTACAAACGTCCTTTTCACATTGAATTAACTCCAGCCTATCTCGAGAATCAATGCAAACGCACGTGTGTATCTGATTTGCGATTATAATACTGAAAACGGACATCGGGACCGGATAACGGCGAAACTAACAAAAAAACGGAAAAATTCCGGATTTTTTTAAAAATCGTAATTTTACTTAGAAAATCGTACTAGCGTAATTCAGACCTCAAAATCGTAATAATTACGCCTAAATCGTAAGAGTTGGCAGCTCTGTATATTGAAAAACACGTGACTGGTCAACACTTTGACTTTATTGACAAACACGTGACTGGTCAACACTTTTGACTATATTGACAAACACGTGACTGGTCAACACTTTGACTTTATTGACAAACACGTGACTGGTCAACACTTTGACTTTATTGACAAACACGTGACTAGTCAACACTTTGACTTTATTGACAAACACGTGACTGTTCAACACTTTGACTTTATTGACAAACACGTGACTAGTCAACACTTTGACTTTATTGACAAACACGTGACTGGTCAACACTTTTGACTATATTGACAAACATGTGACTGGTCAACACTTGGAATATATTGACAAACATGTGACTGCTCAACACTTGGTTATTTTTATAAGGAAATATATATACTTACTTTTGTCCAAGCATTGTGTGATGCAGTATCGTTGCAGGACAGAGCAAATAGTTTCACACCGCGCTTCTCAAATTCTGGTTTCAATTTATGGACATTGGCAAGCTCAGTAGTACACACAGGTGTGAAGTCAGCCGGATGCGAAAACAAGATGGCCCATCTAATTTAGATAAAATAAAGAGAAAAATTATTCTCCATAACATGCTTCAACAATGGAAGTAATTCTGTTCATCACATACATGTAACTGACCCATTTTACTGTCATACGGCCATGTCATAAATATGGTATAACACATGTGTAATACAAGAATTCCACGGAAGTGGATGTGTCGCCTGCGCAGGAAGCTGGGAGATTACGAAGAAATAGATACACTTTTCATTTCAAGAAATAATGTTAAAAGTAAGCAGTAATCATAGATTATGTTTTTGGATGGCATCATTTTGTTATATAATCTGTTATTCTGGGAAGAATACTCTGAGTTTTAAGGAACTTGCTATGGATACTCATTGTCTCAATTCCAAGTTTAATTTGTATGATTTGTCGGATGGTTTCCCATAAATAAATGAATAAACTTGTGGATTATGATGTTAAACGGCTATAGTGTTGTCAATAACATTTGGAGTAAGACGGCATTTCAGAGGTATACTCGGTTGGTCAAGTGGTAGATCGAAGCCGTCCAGTATACAGTTTTAGTGAAGTTTCTATTTATAGTAACAGTGACCTTGACCTTTGGACCTGAAAAGCAATCCCAAGCAAGCACTTTTGGTAAGGAAGCACTGCATGAAGTTTGAGTTTGATCGGCCCAAGGAAACTCAAGTTATCGCACAAAAACCTGTTTGGACGCCGCCGCCGACAAAGCAATACCTATGTGTCACCAGCTTTTCGCAGGTGACACAAAAACGATTGGTCAAAATCATAGGAACATATATATTCCAAAGCCACTACAAAATTTTGAAATTTATTAACCGATATTTTTTCTGATAAAATTTTATGCTTTTAAATGAATCGGAAAAGTCTATTTTGTCATTATTATTTTTATTGCATTTAAAACTGTTCATTATTTAAAAATATAATCTGGAACTACTCTTCACTGCGCGGAGAGAAAATAGGATATATGATCAGCTAGAATATTATGCTTTTAACCTTGAAGAGTCAATTGATAACACATAGTTGTGTTTGAAGTTACTTTTAAAATTATGAATGTTTTGTGATAAATAGAATTTTGCATTTGTGTCCATGTTATATTGAAATTATCAAACTCGTTCAATAATTTGATATGACAAGAGCCTTTAACCCTTTCAACCCTGCAGACCATAATGGACTGCTCCAGATTAATGCACAGTAGAGTCTACTTAAAGTTACATAGGGGTGAAAGGGTTAATAAATTCAATATGACATGGACACTCATGTTAGATTTTCTATTTACAATAATAAACTGTTGAGTGTTCTGATGTAAATGCCTCCATGTACAGTGTTTAATTTAACCTAATAAGTTAGTAGTGGGAGGGTAAGAATTACAGCAACGCTTTCCAAAACTCATTAAGTAGTATATAATAGATGCTTTCTTCAATTACTGTAAAACCTTCTGTAACTTGCATTTTTTTGTGTTTGTTGAAATTAAGTTTGAAGTTTGGGTTGAACAATTTACATAGCTATGGATATTTTCAGGGGGTCTTTTAACAGAAAGATCCTCGATTTGCATGGTCCACCATCTTGAAAAGACAGGATTTCTCAGGATCTGTTTGTACACAGAACTTTTAAGACAAACGAACGTATATCTTTTTTAATCAATAATCAATAAAGTGCAAAGATATTTGTGTTGCTATATGAATTAATAAGAAAACTAACGCAAGTTATTAAATAAATCAAAATAAAAACAGCAAACATACATATATAGATAACATTCTCATAATCAGGGGCTTATAAAAATTACATTTCTGCAACTGATAATATAAAACAGTTTACAGAAACACTGCCATTTTAAATTGAACAAGGCAAAGTATTGCAAGGGGTAATCCAGTCTCCCACCGGTAATGATTTCTATATCTGGTTACTTCAGGTGAAATATTTAAGTTAAGGTCAAAGCATAGGTCACAGTGAGGTCATAGAGACCTATTTCTTATACACTCTGCATTCCGTCATCCCAAGATATCCTTGTACACAAACGCTAATTACTCCAGATGAAATAGTATAGAAGATATGCCCTGGACAAACATTTTTAAAAAGTAAAGGTCAGAGGTCAAGTCATAGGTCACAGTGACCTAATTCTTGCACACTGGACTTCTCCATTCCAAGATGTCCTTGTACACCAAATCTAGATAATTCAGGTAAAATACGTCCCGGAAAAACTTCTCGGATGGATGCATGCATGAAGTGCAAACCTATAGTTCCCTCCACGCCCACCAGTGTGGGACTAATAAATGTGTAACAAATTCATTACAAACCACAGAATAATGTTCATGAAATAATTGGGATGATTGAACTAGAAAAGGTTATCAGATGTTTTAAGGAATGGGCCGGGGAGCTTTGAAGTTTCTTGTAACCTATAGCTACTGCTGTACCTGTGCTCATACAATGTACCTTGCAAGTTTGTATGTCAGTACACTTAAACAAGCATAATTTCAAAAAAGAATCTTTACCATTAAACTTATTACATGAAAATATTTTCAAAAACACAGTGATTGAGTCTTGATTTCACAAATTTAAAAGATGATAGACGGATTAAAAGAAGAAAAGAATTGGCGATCTACAAAAAAAACATTCCACGTAAACTGGCTGATAATAAAGGAAACCGGTTTTAGTATTGTCTCAAACGAATCTGTAAATAGGCAGTTAAATGTTTATTTTATTTTATGACTCACTTCCAGTAGAATATGACCTTGTCAAGGTATTCAAGGAGACTTAAAAATGTACATGTCATGATAATCGAAGTTCATTTGAACATGTAGGCATGTTAAGATAGCTCTGTAGCCCGTGTCCCTTCACAGTGCTGCAGTAGTTCATGTACTCCAGTGCTAGATTACACTGTACATGAGATAGCGCTAGGCTGGTCTAGTGGCAGGAAATGACACGCAATGTGAAGTTATCCAAGATTTAAACAAGTTTAAAAATTCATTTGATTTTATCTGATTCTACTACATATTTGAATGACTTTTTCCATAGAATTTAACCGAGATTAATTGGTTTATAAGGTATAAAACGTGACTCTGGCAGTTTGATTATGTTCATATCAATACATGTACCGTACAATATCTAAATGTTTGTAATGTGTCTGTTATGATTCAGAAGATAAAATCATTTTAAAATTGAGAAATGGCTAATTTGGGTTTGGTAATGACGACTGTATATGCATGCATTTTTCAAGTATTTCCAGAGAATTCTGGTAGACAACCCTGTGGATCTGAACACTTTGGATAGATTGCACAACCTTAAAGTTCACCTTTAAATATTGATAATTACTAATGCTAGTGATTTTGCGATTCAGTGCTTCAACTCTCTTTTAACACATATAAATCAATCATGCAACAAAGTATAAACATTGAAAATGGCATTTGGCTGGAAGTCTCTCCGAATTTCTTTTTTGTAATTCACAAAGTGAGATTTTTTTTTTATTAAATTTCATCAATCACCCATGTCTTTATTCCTGAAACTGTTCTCATACTCATGAATGGACTCTGTGCTCATACCAACTTTCTTATAACTTGCTCAAAACATGTCACTTCCAAATCTTTGGTTTAAAGTGAATTTTCATTTATTTTTCACCGGAACAAGATACTGGGCTAGAAAAACGGTTTCATGGATACAGTTTTAAACATCAAAGTTTTACTTTCTACACAAACAATGTACTATTAAACTTGTCGCAATGTTTCAAGAACGACCAGTCCCTTTGTCAAGCTATGACTGAGTGAGCTATTTGTATTTTTTACCTGTACAACAATTAGACAAAATTGTATATATTTTTGTCACTCGACCAAGGACATTTTACCTATTGATAGAAACCATATACACACTGCATCAAATAGATTACAAGTAGGGTGTAGATCTATCCCCCTCCCCCATTATGTCAGTAGAAGGTCATACAGATGACTAAGTTGGGCATAACTGTAACCGACACTGTCTGGTGCCGGACAATAGTACCTGTACAAGATCATAGACTGACAACATTAAGTTATTAGGGCATCAGTGAACACTGGTAGAAATAACACAAACAAGTCTCAAATTAATTTGTATGTGAAACAACTAATCTACATACATGATATTTTCAATGGTGGACTGTACCAAGATGTCGGAAAAGGGACATGTACCTTTACCCAAATTGTTGAACAATGTTTCAAAGTTATTTTATAGGTGGAGATGGCTCCAGCGCATTATAAGAGTGAAATGGATCCTGAATACATTGTGCAATTTATTTGATAACTAGCAAGTCCTGTTAACGTTCCATTTTATGGGAATAAGGTTGGGGCTCCCATACTGCTATGGTTACTGAGAGTTAACATATAGTTCTGTATCTAACACACAGTTTATTTTTGTATATATGGGAAACTGAGCTGAATGCCTTCAGAGTCGTTGAAGTATAGAATTATCAAGTATTGGTTAAAAACTGTTTGTGAAAATGCAAATAATTATGTCTAAGCAATATAACCTTGAAAGTAGATCAAGGTCATTTGCTTGAACACAATAGGTGTTATCGCGACCATCCACAAGTTACTCCCCTTCGAAGAGTTCTTGCTGGAAAATACACAAGTCTCGCGAGAGAATGCGAGGATACGGGGGCAAAACAATCTGCCATGTGTAAACAATATGCCCCACCTTCACTGTATTGAACCAACAAAAATAACTCACAAGAATAGAGGTCACATCAAATGCATTTAATGATGACATTCCAATCAAACTGTTTGTCCAAAACAAGCCTTCTGACATTTCATTTACATAAAGGTAACACGATACTCTGTACACCGCTGACGGTCGTCACAACTGTGACGCTTTAGCTTCGTCCTCTTTTTCAACATCTGGCCAATTTAACATGTCTGCTTGCTATCATAGGTGTACTAGCTCCCCATTTTTCTTATTTGGAGTAGGTGATACCTTTTGACTTTAAAATATTACCCAATTCATTACATAGAAGCTCGTGGAAATTCGTATCTGAATGTTTTGGCGCT